TCCGTGGCCTTCGGATCTGACCCTTCGAAATCGGGCGTCGACGGCTGGCAACACTGTTGCGACAAGTTCACCAAGTGCGATTTTGGCTTCAGCCTCGTCTGCAGGAGGCCATGCGGAAAACCAGAGTTGTCGGGAGTCAGCGAAGGGTGTGAAAGCCCGCAAAGGAGGGCAGACTCTGGTGAGAAGGGGCAGCGAGAGAGGGAGAAATGACGGTGGGCGGTGGAACTGGTCGAACTGGTGGTGATGTCTACAGTGCTTTAGCAAGGTACGCCTGGTGCCATGGCAGGTTGGCGAACGAGCATAGCCACTTCTGGTGACCATGCCCTTGGATGAGAGACCTCATCAATAAAATTGAATGGATAAATCTTGCGTTATGTTTTCCTTGAGCCTGACTACCTGGCGCCGATGGGTGCTCGTAAGCGGAATCCCTGCCTCTTTTTTCGATCAACCTGGAAATGCCAATCCTGGCCATCCATCATGGCTATGACCCATATCTAAAGTTCACTCTTGATTCTCATTCCTCGTTCCATTGTTTTCATCCTTGAACAATTTTGTATAAAAAACATCAACGTGCAGCCGCACTCTATTAGAGCACCTCATCCCTCCAGGGAATGGAGTCTTGCGCGCCCTTTCTCTCGACCGTCTTGGCCGCGGCGTGGTTGGCGCTGCGAATGGCTTGCTCAATGTCAAAGGGCGGCGCCCTCCTTGGCGGCGCGCACGACGTCGACGCAGTACGAGCCGACAAAGGTGTCGCCGGCGGCGGTGGTATCGACGACTGTGGCCTTCTCGGCGGGGACGAGGGCGTGGCTGCCGGTGGCGTTGGCGTAGAAGACACCGCGACCACCGAGGGTGATGATGACGTTCTGGACGTTCTGGTCGAGGAACCACTTGGCGACACGGTTGCAGCCTTCGGGAGTGTCGAGCTCGGACTCTGGGAGGCGGGAGAGGATGGACGCCTCTGTTTCGTTGACGACGAGGTGGGCGAGGCCGTCGTAGGCTTCAGCGGGGAGGGGTTGGGCCGGGGCTGGGTTGAGGAGGACAGGGACGCCAGCCGTCTTGGCGGTCTGGAGGGCAGCGAGGACTGTAGGCAGAGGGATCTCGAGGCATCACGAGCAGGTCCGGGGGCGTGGTCTGGGGGAGGGCGGAGAGGGAGGTGATGGCGGGGGCGTGGTTGGCGCCGGGGGAGAGAATGATGCGGTTCTGGCCCGTGGGCTCGTCGACAATGATGATGGCCGTGCCGGTGGCGGCAGTGTCTTTCGTGATCTGGGACGTGTCGATGCCGTGGGCGGCAAGGTTTGAGAGAAGGAGGGAACCGTGGGAGTCGTCACCAACAGCGCCAGCCATGGATACGATGGCGGCGGTGGACTCCGAGTTGGTGGCGTGATCGCGGGCCCGCGAGAGCTTCGCACAGGCGACGGCCTGGTTGGCGCCCTTTCCACCGGGCGAGACGGCAAAGGCGTTGGAGGTCATCGTCTCGCCGGGAAGAGGGTGATGGGGGACATAGGAGGTAAGGTCGATGTTGAGGGAACCGAGAACGGTAATCTTGGGCAAGGTTGAGGACGCCATGGCGGAAGTTTGGGAGGGGGGCGAGTATTCGGGCTGCGCGAAGTATTGTGGTTCTGTTTCGCAAGTATAAGACAAGGTTGGCAAGGAGAGCGAAGGGAAGAATGAGAGAACTTGGGAAGAGAAAGTCGCAATAATGGTTGTGTACAGCTGCCGGAGTTGGAAGAAAAATTATGAATTAGGCCGTCCAAGGTGCAAGGCGGAGGACGGAGGGGTCCGGTGACGATGAGGGAGGGGCAGTAGCAAGTCAGGTACCGGGAAGCGGCGTTAGTGCATTGCACTGCGGGGTTCGAGCTTGAGCTGTTCCTGCCTGCTAACCTGCCTCCTGCCCTACCTGTTCACGGTACCCACCTCCTCCTACCTGCCTACCTTGGACAGGCGCGTCTGGCCTGGCCCCGAGGTACTTGCTGTAAGCTTAGGCAAGGACGACCCCAAACCACGTAGCAGCAAGCACCAACGGATGGATGGCTCGATTGGCAATCGGGCCTTGGAAGATCTTTAGAAGAAGAGAAGGCTCTGCTGGCTGGCTGCCAAGGCTACGCTTTCGACATGACATTCCTACCGGTGCATAGCTCCGAGCCAGGAGAAGCCTTCCTCCCTACTGTTGAGGTCCGAGCCTTCCGCACAGCACTACATCCTCTCCAAAAGGATGCCATGAGACGTGAGACAGTCTCGCCGCCGAAATGGCAGTGCCATTTTGCTCGACTCGCTCAGGAGAGACGACTACACCTCCCTGGCCCAACCACGTCGGCGCGATGGTTACAATGACAGAGTCGACCAAATGGTGACTGGTAGGTGCTAACAGCGAGTTAATGACCTGGCCGCCGCCCTCAATCATGACGCTGCCTAGGCCCTCGCGGTGAAGCGCCGCCAGGATATCCCGCCACGCAAACCGACCGCTGCCCGCCGCGTCCATCTGCACCGTGATGAACTTGCCGCCGTGCTGCTCGAGCAACCCCCGTCTCGCAGGGTCGACGTCCCATCTCGAGGTGATGACGTACGGCGCGAGTCCCAGGCCCGCTCGCGCGACCTCGAGCACCTTGCTCCGCGCTGACACCTCCCACCGGCAGCTCGGGTCGATAATGATAGGACGCGGCTGCTTCTTGAGGCCGACGCCCTCGATGCGGCAGTTGAGCGCCGGGTCATCGGCGACGACGGTGCCGACACCCACGCAGATGGCATCGTGGCGGCTGCGCAGGTAGTGCGTCATGGCTTTGGACTCGGACCCTGAAAGCCGCGTGCGCGTGCCCGGTGCCAGCGATAGCGACGAGTCGAGTGACGTGGCAAAGGTGAGCGTCACGAAGGGACGTGATTCTGATGTAGCTAGTGCGATTGCCTGGTTCGAGGGCAGCTGTGCTTCGAGCCTAGCCGCATCGGCAGCGGGGAAACGGGAGGCGTTCAGCCATGGTGAGGGGCAGGATCAAAGTGGAAGAACAGGTCGCCGGGTGAATATTGAAGTCGACGCAGGCTCGCGGCAGAAGGAGGAAGACACATGCAGCATGAAGGGCGCCCCTGTGTCGAGCAAGACCCTGCAGAGTGCCACATGGTGGGGGCGCAAATCACAGTCCCACCCCAGCGCCAATGGATGTTGCATTCGTTAATGTGAGGCAGATAAAGCACCTGAAGATGAAGAACCTTACGCAAGTACGGCACAATCGTCGAATCCCAGAGACGCTAGTCTGTAGTGTGCGTCCTGTCTTGTCCTCTTTTTTTTTTTTTTTTTCGTTTTTATAGATGGTATAGAGCTGAGATACCCCTCAGTAGGTAGGTACCTCGTGGCCTCGGCCTTGATCTCAGATGTACCACCGACGTCGCATGATCAATGCAGCCCTGGAGCGGCTGAAGACGACATGCATATAATCAGAGCGAGCCGCGGTGATTTGGTCTTCAAGCAGAATCGCAGAGTGTGCATTCCCTTCGCACTCTTCTCTGCGCTAGCCAATCTGGCACTTTGCTTCGTAACCCAGAGATCTGAATATGGATGTGTTCGGCACGGTGGTCAACGTCACCACGCTGGTCGGCCAAATCGTCATCATCTACCGTCATGTCGCTGCGATGCAGTCTTTTTGGCGATGCTGCCGGTATGTAGTCGGCTAGGTTCAAGCTGCCTTTATGTCTTTCGCAATCGTGGCTCTTGTATGTCACCCGGCAGTCACTGACATCTGCAGAATGTGTTGCTGCGAAGATTTCTTCGAA